GAGCTCATTAGCCAAAAAACTCCAAAGTTAAGCGTGCTTGCACGGGAGTAGTCTTGGGATGGGTGACCCCCTGGGATGTTTCTCAGGGCGCGCACGAGTGAGGACAGAGTGCGCGGAAAAGGCTAGTGGCGGTTTGTGAGGACAGTACTAGAGGTCAGAAGTAACTACCTCAGGGCCTACGGGGCCGGGGTGTTACATAGATGGAACATCATAAACAAAAAATCGATAAAACGACTAAGTCCTACAAAACTATCTGAAGCCTGGACGGCAATCCAAATGACAAGGAACACAAAAAAGGGGCCAAGTCCTGGTGAATTCGCGGAAGCCCGAACGACAATACAAAGTGAGAATTAGGAAAACTGCTAAGTCCTATAATGCGGACCGATTCTCAAATGGTAAAGCAAACATTTTCAAACTTTTGTTTCTCTTTGACGAAGGCTTTCCATTCGGCCTCCAGAGTGGCTAAAGCAGCAGCCGCATTTTGCTCAACGGAGATTTGGGAAACGATCAGGTCTCGCTCCTTAGCCAGCCGAGCCTCTCTCAGTTGCAGGCTGTAGAGCCCCACCTACAAGATCCCGTACGAAAACGAAAGATGAAACAATATGGGATGAATGACAACTTATAAAACAAAGTACAGAAGAAAGAACAAAATACCTTCAAAGCTGCTAAGGCCAGACATTCTTCAGACAACTCGACCGACAACTTAGGAACAACAAAGTTGTTAAACCACGAGGAAGTGGACCAGATTTGGCTCGCAGGGGAACCAGCTTTCTCCAACATTTCATGAACGAGATCTGCCAGAGAGATCCGTTCAACCTGACCACATAGATGAACAGCATGGGTTTCACCCACATATATACTAGCATCCTGAGCTGCCTGAAAATGCTCAGAAAATTGGTGCAGCTGATCGGACCCAAACCGGTCATCAATCAACATATCTTCAACCTGTTCGTGAGGGGGAACCTGCTGAATGGGTTGTGGCTCCTGAACAGGTTGAGAAGAGCCTGCCTCTTGAGAACTGACGGTGGAGGGGTTGGCCTTGGGGTTTTTCCTGGCTTTCTTCCTTTTCCCCACACCACCGGTTGCTAGCACACGACTGTTGTCCATTGGAGCGTCTGGATTAGGGGCTGAAAAAATAAACAAAGATAAGAGTTAGTACTGAACGACCTTATCACGTGGGAAACAAAAAAGAAGGGAACGTTTCTCGCACGGGAAGGACCGCCCGGACCATGGCACTTGATTCTTAAAACAAGTAAACCCAACAGAACGGGCAGTACCTATCCCAGCCTTGATTAGACGATCGGGGGGTCAGATATCCTATGATATCACAAGATTTGTTCGGTAAGAAGCGGATCGGGAGTTTTACGGGGAAATGCATTCCACTTGTTCGGAATCAGGTCGTCCGGGACGGAGACAAAAAAGAACCGGTCTTTCCACCCCTTGATCGAGGTAGGATTACCCTTAAATAAAATATGACCCGTTCGGGCAGTTATAGCCAGGTAACTGTGTGTCTGCTGGGGAGCCACCTTGAAAAATTGATGGAACAGCTCTAGGGTGGGAGTAACGTCGGCATCTTTACAATGGCAAATGAAGCCCGTTATCACCCGATAAGAGTTCGGCATAACTTGTGCTGGTACTATCTCATAAAAATTGAGGAAGGAAACAAAGAAAGGGTGTAGGGGAAACCTAAGCCCTGCTTTTACTGAGTCTAGATGGACCACCGCCATCCTAGGAAGGTGGCGCATCGGATGAAGCCCAGCCTGAAGACGGAAATTAACTGGATCAGGGATTAGGGATGGGATTTGGGCCCTATTTTGAGAGGTCAATTTTTGCCTCCTTTCCCTAATTAGCCTCAAGTCCACCTTATGACGGGGAACGTCGCCTGGGAGGCCGGCCGCCATTGAAACGAGTTCATCACCGGAGTTCGTATCGTCGGAATCATCATCTGTAGAAGAGCCAACGGAAGAATCCTCCGCCTCCGCCCTAGTCTTTGCCGCCGCTTCATTTGAACCACCGGCAAACGGGACATTTATGAAGTCCACAATGGCGGCAGCATGGTCATTCCCTTGGGAAGCCATTTCCGAATCAGAGGAACGCGATTGAGTACTCATACCGACCGGACCGAAGAAAAGGGAGAAAAATTAAGGGAGGAAAAATACCTGAACACGAAAAGCTTGAAGAAAGTTTAGAAAGAAGGCAGAGCTAAAGCACGAAGGATTGATAATTCGAAACCCAGAACTAAAGAACTAAAGGCTAATTTATAGTCTGACAAACGCCGTATCAATGACCAACCAAATAATGACACGTCACCTAGACTATTTGAAGGGACACGTGTTGCACAGGAGATCAAGGGCCAGTAATCATGACGATTATGGGAAAAATCAAAGGACAGCCGCAAGGAAGGTACTAATCATGGCATGGGGAACCAGTGAACTCTGGATCCCGATCGCCATTCGGCAGGTAACTTCTACTTCCCAATGCACTCACTACCGTTCGAGACATCAGAAGTGGGGGGACTCGTGTTGGGATATTGGGCCGCAGACCCAATACCCGGGTCCAAGGCCTAAGATATCCAGTCCGTTAGACGGGCCCATAATCCAGAAGATGAAGAGGCTCATGAAAAAATATGTACCGAACGAGGTTCGGGTCAATTAACGTACTTAGGCCAGATCATTAATAGGCCATATCAATGATGACTCCAGATCAATATACCGAACGAGGTTCGGTCTAATCAACGGACTTGGGCCAACATGGTCCATTACCCGTTCGGGCAACGGGTAGCCAACAAGTGGCAGGGAGCATTTATTGCTAAAGTATGACAACAGCTAGTGGGAGTATGAGTTTCTAAGTGGCTGGATAAAAGCGACCAATCAACATGAAGTACCCCATACCCCCCATTAGTATAAATAGAAGGATTAGTTTCATTGTAAAGGGTTAGCATTTTGATACTCAAGCTCTAGAATAGATTTCTCTCTGATTTCTTGTATTATTCACTATTCCGACGTACCGCTCGGGAAGTTTACTCTGTTATCACCAGATTAGTTAATACAAGTGGGCTTTTGAGTATTTGATCATTCATCTTTTATATTTCCTCTTTACGAGTGATTCTTGACCCATTTTCCTAATATATCCAAAGTTCGTGTTGGGCTTTCGGATCTGCAGGATTAAACCTCAACATGATCGTTGTTGTATCTTACTTCTAGCAGGTCTGACATTGTGTTCGCAACATGCTTGTGTGCTCATTTTCAAGCCAATCCGAAGGAATCCCGTTTAACTGCTGTAAACAGAATTTTGAGATACCTGAAAGGCACAGTCAATTTGGGCTTTTGGTATCCCCAAAACTCAGGTTTTGATCTAACTGGGTACTCAGACGCTGATTTTGCTGCATGCTGAAGGGATCGGAAGAGTACGTCGGGAAGCGTTCAATTTCTTGGAGAAAAGCTAGTCTGTTGGTCCTCCAAGAAACAAAACTGTGTGTCAACTTCTACAGCCGAAGCAGAATACGTTGCGGCTGCTAGTTGTTGTTCACAAATTATATGGATGAGTATCCAACTCAAGGACTATGGCTTCACATTTAACCATATCCTGATCTACAGTGACTTCATCATTCATTCTTATTTACTTTTTTGCATTAGATATTAGGTCATGTGTATTACATTGAACTCTATTTTTTGTAAATCAAATTATGGTTATTAATTCAAAAAAAAATAAGATTTATTTTCTTGTGTGGTACATATGTGTTGTTCGGTTTAGATGTTGATTTATGTGCATTACGTAATGGTAGTTGTGTGTTGAATAATGATTTTTGTGCTTAGGTGCCAGTTTTGAGAAATGGAAAGGCTTTTTCCTACTTGAGGCCAAAGAGCCTCATAAGCCGATTTTGATGTAAAATTCCCCTCGGTTGTATACTTCCAAGTAATACAATTAGCCCCCCCAGTGACCATTGCCTCTGCCTCCTCATTGATGAGGCATATTCGCCTCCATGTAGGAGAATCTGTAGATTTGACCTCCCCTATAAAGCGATTACCATACCTGCTCTGCATCAATGCAGTCCAAACGGACTGCCCTTGCTGATAGTCCCATCATAGCTTAATGGATGAGAGTTTCTGAATGTCAGCTAAGGACCTGAACCCCAGACCTCCATTCTGTATTGGCCTACACAATTTGCTAAATCTAGCCTAATGATGTTTAGATCTGTTATCCCTATAACCCCCAAAAAAGTTTGCAATTTTTCTGTTTATAATATTGATAACTGCTGCAGGAATAGAAGTAGTAGCAACCACATGAATAGGAATAGAATTTATCACATGCTTGATTAATATGAGTCTGCCCCCCGTGACAACATTCTGCTCCCCCAGTTTGAAAGCTTAGCATCAACTGCCTCTAGGATATCTTGACAGTGACTGAGCCTTGTAATACCCTTATGGAGTCTCACCCCTAGGTATTTAAAAGGTAGCTTGGTAGATTTTATTCCCAGTTCATTTTCAATATTCAAAATTCTACCCACTGTAGTATGCTTCCCCACAACAAAGCTACTTTTAGACTTGTTCACCAATTGGCATGTCGCCTTCTGATAGGCCTCAAGAAGTTTTTTGAAGTTTTTGATAGACCTGGCTGAGGCATTAAGAAAGATCATCAATTCATCTGCAAAGGCCAGATGAGTAACCTGTAGACCTCTTCTTATATTATAGCTTCCAATGTCCCCTTTTTGAATGAAATAGTTAAGACCCCTTGAAAATGTCTCGGAAACCAAAATAAAAAGGATAAGAGACAACAGACCCCCTGCTTTACTCCTCTGTGAGGCTTAAAGAAATCAAGGCGCACGATCGTGCCTAATTCCAAAAACATAATTTCAGCATTTTTTGTGCCCCAATTCAACCCAAACTCATCTATTTGCTATAAATAAGGTCTCTCTTCTCATGTTTAAGTGTTACGAGCCAGATACAACACATTATAAAACATACAACACACCTGTTCACAAACACATACATAACATTACTCTCAACAACATACAAAACACCCTGTAAAGACCCTTTACAAATCGAATACAAAACCTTAGATTCATAACCGGTAAACACAGTACAATCATCCAATATTCATAACAAGTAATCATCTAATATTCATACTCGAACACATCAAGACAACATACAAGAGTTTAGAAGAGAAAATACGTAAAATGTTGTAAATTGTTCCTACAACATCTACTGTACAAGAAAAACTGCAATACAAAAGGCAAACTACAAGTTCTCATGGTCATCTTGATCATCGTGGTCATGGAGATGTTGCTGCTGATGTCTACGCCTATGTCGTGGTCGTGGTTGAAGAACCACTCTCTCATGCTACGTCTGGGATGATGAAGCCGCCGCTGCGCTAGACGTCGATTGCATCTCCTGAGATGGGGGCATGTGTATAAGATGGCCGTAGTCGAATCGCCTCAACACATCTGAACACAAGGAGACAATGCCTGTCAGAGTTTGTCCATACATGTCCACATCATGAGTATCACTCACTGTGGCAGTAGCCCGCTGATGTATACGCTACAAAGCTCGTGTCTGAAATATGAAACACAATTACAATTACATTGAAATACATACAAGTATTAAATAAATAAAATGACTTACTCTACTAAATAGTAATATACTCACCGTAAGATGCAAAGCCAAGGAGCTAGGCTGATAACGATGAGTAGGGAGTCTGAACGAAGGAGACACAAAGAAACGAGTGATGCTGTAATACCATCCCATGTAGTCTCCTGAAACAGATGGGACAAATGTCGGTGTCCCAGTCACAACTAGCTCAGCTCGCCTGTCCCACAGAGCGACGTATCGGACATGTCTGAGTGCCCAATCCTCCGTATGCTTCCCACGCCTATCCAACCTATGAAGCTCTACATAAGTGTCGATAGGCCGTGGAATGACCTGCTCAAACCCAAACTATCGCAAGACTGGATCAGGCAAATGAAGCCCAACAATGTCAAAACATATCAATGGCACACGTGCTCGCCATATGTGACTATGCTCTCTTCCAGTTGGGGGCAACTCTGCAAACATCTCAGCTGTATACGGCATCCATGTAATCTGTTTTATAAAGATGCAAAATTAGTATTTATGCTATACATATTATAGCATATGTTATATTACCCACACGATACCTGATCCTCAGACATCCGATCAAATGCATCCCTGTAGACACCGAGCCCAGTAGCGGATGACATGCGACTTAGACCAACAAATAGCCATCTAACGATTCATGTAACCGTTTCATTAATATGGATATTATTAATATACTTACATTCAACATACAATAACATAAATACTAACGATTGAAAACATACTGACGACTTAGAGGGTCCTCGCCCCGTACATGATGTGGTCCCAGAAGACGTGGAGGCTCATCAGGGAGTGGGTGTCCATCAATGCCATGATATGCGACTCAAAGGGGATGCCCAATGTGGATATACTCCCATGACCAAATCTTGAGGAGTAGCAAAAATCCTCCAAGCTCTATGCTCCCTCTATGGCAGCCGCGACACAGTTGTTTGTAGAGATAAGCCAGCATGACACTACCCCAGCTGAACTGTGCTCCTACATCAAACCTCTCTAGCATAGGCAAGTGCAGCACCTAAATCTCATTTCCGCTCTTGTCAGCGAAAATGGAGGCTCCCATCATCATCAACATATATGCCTGCGCATGTTGCTGGATCATCACCTCATCAGCGTCCAAATGAAGCACCTGGAAGTGCTCCCTTAACCATGACATCCTCAGGGATGACCCCTGAAGGCTAGTCCGAAGAAGGGGGCGGACACCTAACAACTACTCACACTCATCTACCCACTGTCGACAAGCAGTGCCTGTAACAGCTCTCCCGTCAACCTGTAGCCCAGTAAGTACGACACATAGTCACATGGTTCGTGGTACAGTTCGATACGGGAACGAGGAACGGGAACGCGGTTCGCTAGATCTAGCGTATCCGATTCGGAGGGGGGTAGGTTCATTTCGGTACGCGTTCGGTACGCGTTTAGTACGATGTACCTTAAGTTTTGGTACTATAATAAAATTGAATTAAAGATTTCATAAAATTAAATAAAAACAGATTTCATAACATGATTTCATAGAATTAAACAAAATAAATAACATTAAAATTGTGCCACGTAGAAACTCTAGACTCAATTGAAAACACAGAAACATTAATTAAAAGTTTAAAACAGAAAAATGAATTTCACTCCATTAAATAGGCGACAATGGGAAGAGTAAGTGGCGTAGGAATAAAAAGAGTTTGGTACTCTGGTTCGACCCCGTTGATGACCTAGAGCAGAAAAAGAAAAGGAAACGGTGATTGTTGATAGCGTTTGAGAACGGCCTGGAGACCAGTTGTGAACGACCTGGAGACCATTTGCGAACGACATGGAGGGCAGATGCGAACACATTCTTAAGCGATTGGGAACGACCTGGGAACCGTATCGGAAAGCGATCCCTGTAGCGTTTGGAACGCTTTCGAATCGCAATTGGGTACGGATCGTTCGAAATGCAGATCACAGGGTCTTCAGCGATTTATGTAACTATGGTACAGCAACATCTACCAAGGTCACTGTCACCTCACCAACAGGGAGGTGAAATGTGTGTGTCTCCTGCCTCCAATGCTCAAGAAGAGCAGTGAGTAGCGCTCTATCGAGAGGGACAGTAGTCACCAATCTGTGCAGACCATAAAAACCCGCAGCACGAACATATGCAAGTACTCTGTCGTCCACGTGCATATGCGACAAACCCCGCAGGTGCTCGCGGCACCTATCCACCTGAACATCGAGGCCAAGCCAAACATCCTCACTCCTGTGCGAGGCTTGCAATGTCAGGACAGAACGATCATTCGGCCCAGGATCCGCTGTCACCTCCATGCCTACAAACAAACAATTCTTAATTCGCATTAGTTAATTTTTAATTCACCTCCATGTCAGGACAAACAAACAAACAAAATCGTATTAGTTAATTTTTACTATTATACTAATTCTTTTTTTTTTATTAATTTTTACTATTAATTTTTTTAATCGAAGACGAACTACGTTATACACATATGATTCCCATCAACATGATCATTCCAAAATTTTAACATTCAAAATCCTAAGTTCAAAATGAGATGAAATGGAGTTTGATTTACCTACAAGAAAGAAGAAAGAGTGTTGAAGATTAAGATGGAGGTTTGCCGGAGTGGGGTCGCCGGAGATGGAGGTTCGTCGGAGATGGAGGTTCGCTCGGTCGTCGTTCGTCCTTCGTCCTTTGTCACTACGTCTTGGGGGGTTTGGGGATTGGGTTTACGTCGTTCTGTTTTGTGGCTGGCCGGTGTTTTTACTTTAGGGAAAGTCGCCCGACCGTTGGGCGACTTACCCCTACCATGGTTAACCCAACAGTATATTGGTAAATATTTTTAACCCAACCCTATTTTGATAATTAATTAATTAATTAACATTAATACGGAAAAAAACTCGTCAAAATTAGCTAATTAACTAATGCATTTTAGCAAATGATGGTTTGAAGATGGTGTGGTTGCATTTTGAATAGTTTTTTCTAACTTTTCTGTGAAGTTGTTAACGAATGATTTTTTGAAAATAGTTAAACTTTCAACCTTTGAATCATTCTAAGAAGTGAATTTTTATTTGTATCTATTATCTTAAATCTATAATAATGTAATAACAAATGAAATATTATTATGCCTTTCAATTTTCAGTCTCAAGTTTATAAAATGAATTCTCTTAACATTTTTATTTTCAAAATTCCTTTGACCTTCAAAGTATATCTTCAATGGATTATTCCTTTACCTTTTATTAACAACTACTAACAAAATTTACATATATATTTTACTAATACTGAAGATATAAAGAGGTAGAATAAATTTGTCTTGATTTCACATCTCTGAAAAAATTATCTGTGGAAAGAGTTCATAAGTATTGTCTATGAACACGATTTAAAATAAGTTATGTCTAAAATTGATCTTAACTTTGATCGTAATAGTTGTTTTTATGTATCGCTATAAATTAGATTTCTCGCTCTAAAACATCCACTTCTTTATACTACGTAATAACATTTATATATTTTCGCAGCCAACAGACTTGCAATTTTCATAATTCCTTATCAAAAACACTTTTTATCTATTTGAGAAAAGCAGTTTTTAAAGAACACATAATGAACAACCATCATCTCAATGTTATTTATCATGTGTGTTAACACACATATATTTGCCGTTCAAGCTTGAAAAAAAGAAGTTATACCTTTTATCATGGTAAACCTCTCCTTGTCTCTCTCCGTTTGGAATGGTTTGAAACCTCAAATGCTTCAACATTCATGGGATTTGATACGATCTGCATCTTTGAATGAGAGATCACATTCGGTATGCTGAGATGAGATGTGTTGGTGAATTGATAAAATAACACATATTTATAGAAATAACACATGACTATATTACCAATGGATATTATCCTCAAAAAACATTACCAATTGATAATAGTATGTAATCAATGTAGTATGAGCAAGTCTGATTCAATTGATTAGACGATTCATTTCAGACCATTAAATGCACCTTATATTTGAAATAAAATTGATAGAATTTCAATGCTCTATAAAAGATTTGCTTTCCTACCGATTAAAGTACGGAGTACAGCCACATTTTAAAATCAAAGGACGGCCTTTTAGAAAGCAGACATCCCATCATTTTATTTTAAAAACAATATAAGAGGCAAATATCCCATCACAGTACAATTCAATAAATGTGCAACATCCCACCCGACCTGACCCGTTGAAGACCTGACCTGACCCGTTGATGGGACGTTTTTGGACGAGTACACCGTGCAGTTTTTTCTCTTCCTTTTGTATAACAGAAGATGTGAATAACCTTTACATTTTCATTTTTACGTTTATTTAATTTTAAGACTTGATAAAATCAATTATTTTCTTTCCTTTTCGGTTACACTCCATTTATTCGAATGAGCTAGCGTGTTTTGCATGCTACCACTGCATGATTTTTATCATAGGTTAGTGCTTGAACTAAGTGCTTCCACAACAGTTCTTAGCCACCTCCATGAAGGGAAAACGGTATGTATCTTTCTTTCATTTTTATGTTTTAGTTGACTGTTTTTTTTCATTTATTTTTTATAGTATATTTGATTGTTTTATGCTATGAATATCACGATGTTGTGCTACAATTTATATAGTTGTTTGCAGATTGTAATCTTTCATTTTCTTCTCATGGAGAAATTTACAAATATCTCCCGAGTCATCAAAATACTTGATCCCTAAGTGCGATGAAACATTAAAACCTTATGCATGTGCATTTTGATGATGAGCGTTGGATTTTAAATTTGAATATGATGACGTCTGAAATACGAGAATCGCAACATAATTAAGATGAAGGAGGGGGGAGAAGAATCGAGAAGCAAAAAGAGAAAGAGAAGAAGTCTGCATCAAACTATATCAATTAGTCATTTTATTTATTCTAATATATTCAGGTTATATATTTTTTTCATTTGAATGTAATATTATATGGTAATAAATCACAGTGCAAAATAACAAACATAAACTTGCACTACATGTTATGGTGCATTTCTTATAATAACCATGTGCACTTTTAGATAATTATGATATTATGCACTTCTTCTAAGTAACTGCACATTTATAGTTATTTTGTTTGATTTGTGTGTATTGTGCATGATGGATAGTGTACCCGGGGGGTAGCTTATCCGAGGGGTTATTGCGGAGAATAACTAGAGAGAAGTCAGAGCAAATAAGTAAGAGAGAGAGTGTATATTCAATATGTATTAAGCGTGGTTTACAATGAGGGAAATGGGTGCTGTTTATAGTAGTAATAAATGCCAGATAAGGACACGTGTCAGTTTTCTGGTGGTCGAGGGGTCACCTCAACCGGGGTGGCACTGGCACTCGCATGTGGCCGCATTAAATGCGGTGGTTGGAGGTGACGTTTGTACTTGGTACGGTGATCCAGGCGCATGTGAAGAGGATATTCTGTCGGGGTGGATGCCTTCGGCTGAAGGGTGCTGGGCCGAAGGCTCTTCTAATCGAGGGCTCCTACCTGCCGAGGGCTGTAGGTGCCAAAGGCTTGGTTTTCAAGCCTTGTTCTTCTGTGATGCCTCTTCTAACCGAGGGCTCCTACCTGCCGAGGGCTGCAGGTGCCGAAGGCTTGGTTTTCAAGCCTTGATCTCCTATGATGCATCTTCTAACCGAGGGCTCCTACCTGCCGAGGGCTGCAGTTGCCGAAGGCTTGGTTTTCAAGCCTTGTTCTCCTATGATGTTGCTGAGCTCGATTCCGTCACTGGTAGCCTTCGGCCATGGGGCCGAAGGCACCCGTTTGCGTATCGTGGGCTGCTTAGAGCTCCATTTTTCTGGGCTTGGCCCGTTTGGGCCTGTTGGGCCTGATTGTAGTAGAGGAAATATGTGGGCCGGGGGTCCCTGGGCCATATACTCCATCAGGAGTCCCCCACTCCTTTTGCCGAAAGGTACTTGAGGGAAAAGGAGTAGCTGTGGTGATTTCCCCGAAGGCTTCCCTGTTCTGTTGGGTGCCTCATTTTCTCAATTCCCCCATATGTCTAGGGCTGAGAGCTTCCTGAAGGGAGTGTAAGTGTATTGCACGTATGTGTTTCTTTGTTGTAGTTTGTAACGTAATGAGAGATCTGCATTTGTGTGCTTTGCTGAGGGCATTTGTTGACTGAAGGCTTTGTGTGGCCGAAGGCATCATGTGGCCGAAGGCATCATGTGGCCGAAGGCATCATGTGGCCGAAGGCATCATGTGGCCGAAGGCATCATGTGGCCGAAGGCATTGTGTGGCCGGAGGCATTCTGTAAGCCGAAAGCATCATGTCGAGGGGAGTAGATTGTCGTTGTGATCTTGCCTCAGCTTGCTGTAGCTGAGAAATAGAAAATTTTTAACATTTGCGTGTTTTGCCGAGGGGAGTCCCCCAGTCCCCCACTCCTTTTGCCGAGAGTTTCTCGAGGGAAACAGGAGTAGAGTGATGCATGCCTTCAGCAGGAGCCGCCGAGGGGTGACGCCTTTTGTTCCACAATGGGGAGATGCCTCGTTAAAAACCTCATTAGGAAAAAAACCTGTGGGGAAAAAATCCTAATGAGGGAAAAAGAGTACACCGGATGCCCCCAGAATGAAGCAAAAGGAATGCACCCTTCGGCCTAGATTTTTGAGCGATGGTTGTGTCCGTCTGCTGAGGGGATATCGAAGACCAGCCTTAGATCCTGCATGAAAAAGCTGAGGAGCTTGTAAGGACCCCCCCGTTATCAAATAAAGGTGACGGAGGGGTGCAAGGCCAGGTGGGCCTGTGTGAGAGCCCCTGGCATCAAATACAGATGCCGGAGGGATGGAGACCGAGGGGCCTGTGTGATTGCCCCCGACATCAAATAAATATGCCGGAGGGGTGAAGGCCGAGGGCCTGTGTGATAGCCCCTGGCATCAAATAAAGATGTCGAAGGGATGAAAGCTAGGCTGAGGGGCCTGTATGACAGCCCCTGGCATCAAATAAAGATGCCAGAGGGATGAAGGCCGAGGGACCTGTGTGATTGCCCCCGACATCAAATAAAGATGTCGGAGGGATGAAGGCCGATGGGCCTGTATGATAGCCTCTGGCATCAAATAAAGATGCCGGAGGGATGAAGGCCGAGGTACCTATGTGATTGCCCCTGACATCAAATAAAGATGTCGGAGGGATGAAGGCCGATGGGCCTGTATGATAGCCCCCGGCATCAAATAAAGATGCCGGAGGGATGAAGGCCGAGGGACCTGTGTGATTGCCCCCGACATCAAATAAAGATGCCGGAGGGATGAAGGCCGATGGACCTGTATGATAGCCCCCGACATCAAATAAAGATGTCGGAGGGATGAAGGCCGAGGGCCGTTGTGATGTGGAATCATGCTGAGGCCGAGGGCCGTTGGTGATGTTGAATCACGTTGAGGCCGAGGGCCTTTGGTGATGTGAAATCATGTAAGGCAAAAACTGTTATGACATAGAGTCATGTTGAGGCCGAGGGCCATTGTGATGTGGAATCACGCTGAGGCCGAGGGTCGTTGTTGATGTTGAATCACGTTGAGGCCGAGGGCCTTTGGTGATGTGAAATCATGTAAGGCAAAAACCATTATGACATAGAGTCATGTTGAGGCCGAGGGCCGTCTGATGTTGAGGCCGAGGGCCATTATGATGTCCTCACGCTGAGGCCGAGGGCCGTTGTTGATGTTGAGGCAGAGGGCCGTTGTGATGTTGAGGCCGAGGGCCGTTGTGATGTTGAGGCCGAGGGCCGTTGTGATGTCCTCGCGCTGAGGCCGAGGGCCGTTGTTGATGTTGAGGCCGAGGGTCGTCCTCATGTTGAGGCCGAGGGCCGTTGTTGATTTTGAGACCGAGGGCCGTTCTGATGTTGAGGCCGAGGGCTGTTGTGATGTGGAATCGCGCTGAGGCCGAGGACCATTGTTGGTGTTGAATCACGTTGAGTCCGAGGGCTTTTGGTGATGTGAGATCACGCTAAGGCCAAAACCGTTATGCCAAGGGCCATTGGTGATGTCCTCACGCTGAGGCCGAGGGCCGTTGTTGATGTTGAGGCCGAGGGCCGTTCTGATGCTGAGGCCGAGGGCCGTTGTGATGTGGGATCACGCTGAGGCCGAGGGCCGTTGTTGCTGTTGAATCACGTTGAGGCCGAGGGCTTTTGGTGATTTTGCGACCGAGGGCCGTTCTGATGTTGAGGCCGAGGGCCGTTGTTGATGTTGAGGCTGAGGGCCGTCTGATGTTGAGGCCGAGGGCCATTGTGATGTGGAATCATGCTGAGGTCGAGGGCCGTCCTGATGTTGAGGCCGAGGGCCGTTGTTGATTTTGAGACCGAGGGCCGTCTGATGTTGAGGCCGAGGGCCGTTGTAATGTGGGATCACGCTGAGGCCGAGGGCCGTTGGTGACGTGGAATCATGCCAAGGCCGAGGGCAATTGGTGACGTGGAATCGAATTGAGGCCGAGAGCCTTTCCTTGATAGTTCCAGGAGTCCTCTGGGTGTATGTTCCTTCTTTCAGGCATCGACCGAGGGGTTGATTCCCCGCCTCGGCTGAAAGGAGGTCCAAGTTATCCGTCCGGGGGTTCGTCTGTTAGTCCCCCGGCGCTGGGCCGTCCCTTGATTGTGCCAGGAGGTCGTATGTTAGTCCTCCTGATGTGTGTTCCTTCTTCTAGGCTTCGGCCGAGGGGGTTGCTTCCCCGCCTTGGCCGGAAGGGGGTCCAAGTGATCCGTCCGGGGGTTCGTCTGTTAGTCCCCCGGCGCTGAACCGTCCCTTGACCTTGGGGGGTCCCGTCGTCTATTTACGGCGCGGGCTAGGCTTGGTCGGTTTCCGACGACTGCCGTTTCACCCCCAAGTTT